TGATGAACAGAGACATAGAGTTCTTTATCATGGCCCAGTACAGCCCACGAGCTTATCTAGAAGCAGGATTAGTGGTGAGGGTAATTATGTAAATTAAGGATTCTTCTGGCATTCACACAGACTTAGCTATTATTGAACAGATCACATGGTGTCGTTCCTGTCTCCCACTTGGGCTTGTGCCTATATTTCTCATCCCATTCAGACGTAATTCTCCATCTTTCCCACCTTAACACACCTCAAATGGGACTTAAACTCCTCTCATGTGTATACTAGTAAATCCAATCCTCCACCATTCCTTTCCCCAGGCTAGATACAGGAGGGACATCTTGAAGTCTTTCCTTGATTTCATATAGAACTCGTATTCAAGAGTTCCATCTTCCAGAGTGACACGGGGCAGGTTTTAGCTTGGAAGCCGAGTGCCTTATTGCTTACTGTCTCCTGGTGGCTGCTGGGGGAACAGCAAGGAAGTAGAGCGAAGAAGCCATTCAAAAAGTCAGGATCATTTTGGGGAGGATGCCATTCACCAGGTATTTCAGAGCCCAGAAGAAAGAAGAATTCAATCTAGAATGAAGACACCACAAACAGATGACCACGGAGCTGCAGAACATGGCCAACCACCTGAGCAAGGATCCGACAATGGGCTGAGATGTGCTGGATAAAGAGTGCCCTGCGATGGGTAGGGGAGAGGGGGAGCAGGGGCAAATGGGACTTGAATGGAAACAGACCAGAGGCAGGATGCTGCAAGTCTCGAAGGCCAGCCAGTTGTCCCCTCCATTTGAGGCAGCTGGCTTTCTACCTGACCTCACTCAATGTGAGAAAAGATTGCTCACTGTGGTAACCTACAGCGTGAGTACCAGTGATGAGTGTGGGCCTGTGGACAGAGGTGTGAAGACAGCCTTGCACAAAGGTGGGTCCTGTCCCCTTTCTACCACTTGCTAGTGTCAATGGATGGACACCAACTAGAGAAGAAGGTTCGAGACCATCACCCTGCTCACCAAAGCCCATCAGCTCCAGTTTACACTGGTCCTGTCCCTCTGTCAGCCCCATCATCATCTCCAAGCTAGGCTGATTTACCCACAGGGTCTGTAAGATTGCTCCTTGAGTCACCACGGGGCTCTAAATGAGGTTGGAGGGGTGGGCCTGGTTGGGGATGGTGGGGAGCTTGTCTTTTATTCCAAGTGCTATTGTGATGGAGAAGAAGTGGGGGAATCATGGGCTCAGTGGGGAGTTCTTGAAGGTGGAGCTGTCTGAAAGACACCCAAGTAGATACTTCATTGAAGTCACTTAAGAGGCGTGGTCTGGACAGCATAGACTTGTGTACAGCTCTTCTAAAGTTCATTGGGACAGAAAAGTTCCCCTCAGGAGAGCCTGGTGGAAGGACTGAGAGGCAGGCAGGCAAAGGAAAGACTTTTTAAAAAAGAGAGGCATGTTTTAAATACAATGTATCTGTGAATAAAGAGAGCAAACTAAAACAACTGAAAGCTGTTGACAATAGGGGTGGTAGGAATGGGGAAGGTAAGAGTAAATGTGGGAGTGGAGCTGATTAAAATTCTTTATGTGGATGTGTAAAATACTAAAGTGAAACACCTGTGAACAATTAGCATGCACTAAAGGCATGAATGACATGCATACAAAGCAGGCTCTGTCCTGGGGGTGGTCCCTCGTGGGAGGGGGAGAGGGCAAACACAAAGGGAGAGGGAGGGTGAATCTGGCTAAAATACTTCATGTGCACTTGTGAATATGGAACAACAATGCTTGTCAAAGTAATGGGTCCTAATAAAAATTTGGAAAATGAAATAAAATGAAAAAATAAAAACATGGGATGTCCCAGACCACAGTGCTACCTGGAAAGAGTAAAGGTGTTCCCTGAGAACACTTTATTATCTAATTGTGGCCTTTGAACCATGTTCAGATTTTACATCGTCAAATCAATAACTAAAGCCCATACAAATAGCACTCAGTGACTGCAGCATGACAGAGATGCAAATATGCTTGAGCGACTTTTGAACACAGTACTCTATGTCCTCTCCATGGGATATATTCTGAGGACAAAGGACTGCAGAGACATCTTGAACTCTAGTTCTCAGCTCTGCTGCTGGGAGTGGAATCAGTGCATAAATTCTAAGCAAATGAGAAATACAGTGAAGTCATAGGGAACCAGGACACTCAGTGTGCAAGAGAAAATATATCAGGGTGGAATAAGAGGAAAGACTCTGATACACACACACACACACACACACACACACACACGAGTTATTAGCATTAGATGTAGTCACTAGGAAGGCCTACAAGGAGAGTGCGAGCAGGGGGAGAAAAAGGAGGAGGCAATGTGGTTGTATGGACATAGCGACAGGTGTATAAATATACAGAGCTACAGAAAGGGAATAGGCAATTGAATAAAACGAATGATGGTGGGCTTTAGGGTAGGAAGGTGCATGGATGTTCACTGATTCTTTTTTTTTCTTTTTTTAGTCGTGGGGACTGAACTCTGGGCTTGAGCGCTGTCCCTCAGCTCTTCGGCTCAAGGCTAGTCTCTACCACTTGAGCCACAGTGCCACTTCTGGCTTTTAAAATCTGCTTATGTGGTACCAAGGAATCGAACCCAGGGCCTCATGCATGCAAGGCAAGCGCTCTACCACTGATTCTTTATTGATGGTTTCTAACAGTTCACAATAAAGCCATGGGAAGCCTTCGACCCCACTTGCTCTGTGGGTCTGTGTCTCTGGACCTTGTCTAGCTGCTTCATCTTTCTTGAAAGCTAGTGGCCAAACTTGCTACAGTAAATCCCAGCAGAGGATCGCTGACCTTCTTAGGCCAAGGAGAAACTGTCTTAATGTGGTTTTCCATGCTCCTCAACTGCAACTGTGACTCTTCAGGCTCTTGCCAAAATGGAATCAAAGCTCAGAGCACTCATAGGTGAACACTTTCTTTCAGTTCTGGGGAATCAAACCCAGCCAATAAGTGGGCATTTTTTTAAATCACAAATTTACAAGTACATGGAGATTTGTCTGCATTTTTCTATCCACTTATGTGAAGACTGTTTTATAGGTGATCCCATTGGTCAGATTAGTATTATTGATTCAGTATCAACAGAATCAACATCAACTGGCAAATCAGTATCTACTTCTGAGTATCTAAAGACACAGCACTGGAAATGGACGAACGTTCCGGATGCAATGGAATTTATATTTCAGTAGTGGTGATATATGATCACATATGAATAAAGTAGTATATGAGAGTTGGCATTGTACAGAAATTAATAGCCATATTGGTCTAGAAATGTTAAACTTAATTTTTTTCCATTTGTACAGGGGTAAACGCACTGTATTAAATATGTAAGGTCTTATCTATGTGGGTTTGATTACAGAAACTAATAAAGTATTCTCTAAATAATGAAAAAAAAAGTAGTATATGAGTTGGTGATACACAGTACAGAAGAAAACCAACAACTATAGGCCAGGAGGTCAGGGCTTAGGGTAAGGGGTAGGGGAGTAGGTTGCAGTTTGTATTCAGGGTAGCCAGGGAAGGTGTCATTAACAAGGTGACATTTAAGCAATGTGGAAGATGTACTGCAGTATTTCAGGGGAGAGTTTACATTCCAGGAAGTGCAATTACTCTGTGGTTGGGGGCCTGTGGCTCGACTAACAGGAAGCTAAGGGGGGACAAGCGGAGGAGGGCCAGGGGAGCTGAGGTCTGGGGTGAGGTGGGGAGGACCATGGTGTTATTGGACCTTGAAGGTCTGTGTGTGAGACACACAGAGACAGGCCCTCAAGCAGTCGGCTACAGTCTAGCCCACATGTGAGAAGCTTCCCTCAGAGCAAGACTTCCCTCAGAGCAAGACCTCTTACTTCACTGTGTCCATCTTCCAGGGCAAGTATATTTCAAGTGGATCCCCAAACATTCTCTTATTCTGCTGCCCCTTTCCTCTTCCCAGCTAACTTCGTATAGTTTCTCCAAGTTCATAGCTAGAGGCAATGACAAAGTACTTCCTGGCACAGTGTGTCTGTTCATGCCATGTTTTGGAGATGAAAATCACTGTGAGCCAGATTAGAGGGCATGGAAGGGGCAGGACTGACGTGAGGACTGAGATGTCTGCGGGGTAGGGTGGGTGCTCAGGGAGGACAGAGCGTCAGTGGGGAGGGGGGCCGGCCATGCCTGATGGCAGGGTTAGTGAGACCGCAGGCGCAGGTGAGGGTCTGGGGGAGACATATGCCACAGTGCTGTTGGGTCAGCTTCGGATCTGCCCGAGGAGTTTGGGTTCCTTGAACTTCACGAAGCTCCTCTTCTGTACATAATTTTTTTTTTTTTTTTACTAATGGGCCACAGAGGCAATGCCCATGAAGAAGAGCAGGCAGGGAGCTCAGATGGGGGTCCCTCGGGCCTCCCCGTGGAGTCTGGTGGTCTGGTTTGGAGTTTGGGGCTGGGATCTTTACAGAGAGGAGAGTCAGGGAGACCTCATCCACGGGGTTTGGGACAAAGAGGTGCTTCTTGTCTCTTCTGGGCTGGGTCTGCGCAGGGGGCAGCTCCCGATGGAAGGAGCCAGGCGGGCAAGGGTGAGGAGGGAGGCCATCCAAGAGGGTCAGGCAGGAATTCCACTTCAATCTGTATACTGGGCCTTTTTAGGCTGCATTAATGAGCATTGTGTTTGTCATAGATTTTAGGAGAAAGAGATAACGAGCTTCCAGACTACTGTCCTATCAATGGAGAACATCAATACCAATAACACCAACTGGTTTTATGACATGACAGAGGAGAAATAATCAATGCATAAATTAGAACTTTCAGGTTGTCATAAACACCAGGGCATCAGGATTTAGTGAGAGGAGAGCAGGCCAAGATGTGACAAAGTTGTAATTGGGAGACAGGAAAAGACATTATTTTTCACAGTAACATAAAAAGAGGGGAAAGGAGAAAGATTAAGAGAGAAAATGAAATGCACAGGCTTTGCCAGGCTGAGTTACAAATGAGCCCTTCAAATTAAAAAACTGTGGAGAACTTACGTGATATCAGCATTGGGGTGAAGCCCAAAGACTTCAGGGTTATCTAAGGACGGCAGGGACTGGATGTACTCAAAATACTGGTCCAAGGTTTTGCATACGGGGATTTTATAGCCAGTATAAAAACAGAAGGTAGGTTCAAACATCTTCTCGCTGAACCAGACCTGTAAGTGAGAGAAGAAATGCAAGGAAATTGAAGCTGGGCGCTAGTGTCTCACACCTGTAATCCTATCTATTGAGGAGGCTGAGATCTGAGGATCACAGGTTGAAACCAGCCAGGGCAAGAAAGTCTGTGAGACTTATTTCCAACTAACCACCAAAAGGCCAGAAATGAAGCTATAGCTCAACTGGTAGAGTGCCAGCTTTCAGCAAAAAAGAGCTAAGGGATATTGCCCAAGTCCTGAGAGTTCAAGCCCCAGTACAGGAAGGAAGGAAGGAAGGAAGGAAGGAAGGAAGGAAGGAAGGAAGGAAGGAAGGAAGGAAG